GGGGTCTAGAGCGGTCTGGGAGATGCCTTCGCGCTCTATCTCAGGCCATCCAACGGCCCTTCTAGGCCTGTGTTAACCTCATGTTGGGGATGAAGAACAGAAGCCGAAACGTTAAGCGAATAGCTCAGAGTCCCACCGCGAGGAAGCACCAGCTTTTGCTGGCTCTAGACGTCCCCGCCCCTGCCCGCGGTGGGATCTGAGCCAAGGTTTGTCCCAGGCGAGGGAGGGTGGTGCCCGCAGAGCCCAGCGAGGGCGGGGCTGCCAAGGCCGGTTCGAGGTTGGGGGGCGTCCCGGAGATCCGGAGAGACGAGAGAGGTCCCCTTCAAAGCAGGGAGGGAGATGGGCCGAGCGCGGTGGCTCACGCCTGTAATCCCAGCACTTTGGGAGGCCGAGGCGGGTGGATCACCTGAGGTCAGGAGTTCGAGACCAGCCTGGCCAACATGATGAAACCCCGTGTCTACTAAAAATACAAAAATTAGCCGAGTGTGGTGGCGGGTGCCTGTAATCCCAGCTACTCGGGAGGCTGAGGCAGGAGAATCGCTAAACCCGGGAGGCGTAGGTTGCAGTGAGCCGAGATCGCGCCACTGAACTCCAACGTGGGAGCTAGCGCGACCCTGTCTCAAAAAAAAAAAGAAAAAAAAGGAGAGGGAGGAGGCCTGGGCCCAGAGGCGAGTGGGGTGCCTCGGGTGGGGAGAGGCTGTGGGCACCAAATGCCGTGAGCGGGGATACGCGAATTTCCCAGAGGGGGGAACTGAGCCCTCCAGAGGTGCCGGGGACTCCGCGCGCTCAGCCAGGGCACCCGGTGGCCGTCCCTGTCCCTGGGGCACGCGCTCCGTGCTGACGAGGAAAACCAAGATCTTCCTGGGTTCGAGGCTCCGGCCAGGCCCCGGCGCGTGTGGGTGGACGGCGTCCCGCACGGAGAACGCTCCGCCCGCCAGGCGCGCCGGCCGTATTTGGACATTGGTTCTATTTTTAACTTCCCCGGGACTCGAGTTCGGGGGTTGGGGGAGGGAAATCCCGCTTCCTCTGGGACCCGCAGGCCTCGGTGCCCGCCCAGAACCCGAGCCCGCCGCGGAGTGTCGTCCCAGGCCCGGAAGTGAGTTCCGGGTCGGTGTAGACGCGGCGG